GGGCCTGGGCGCAGCGGGCAGGGGCGTCACCCTTCCCCCAGCCGCCGCCTCGCTCGGTTTGGCTCACGGAGGCTTGACGAGGCCCAGACCCCTCAGCCGTGCTTCCCTGGGCCCTTAGGCGGGAGAGCCCAGCACGCCGGTGTCCCTGGCAGCCAGGCCCCCTCGGACTAGCCAGCCTGTTCCCTGGATCCTCCCTACAAGGCACGCCAGCCGTGCCCCGACCCTGGCGGGACTCCCTGCAGCGGGAACGCTCCTGTCGTTACCACAGGGCCTGGCCTTGGCGCTCAGATGGCAGCAGCCGCCCTGCGCCTGCACGTCCTCCAGCCTCCCGCCTGGGGTGCAGCCGGGCGCCGTATCTAACGTCCCCGCTGAGGCCTGGGGGTGACCCTGGAGGGCCTCCATTTCCCCACTCGCTCGAATGGGGTAGCCCAAGGGCCAGGGGTTGTGTCCCAGCCCACTGAACTCTGTGGCACGTGGAAACTCGCATTTCGGCCGAGGCCCCTTCAGGCCTTTAACAAACTGGCAGCTCGGTGGCGGTGGGAGGGGCGCAGAAAAACACTCGGGAAATTAATGTCCCGTGGTGGCTGCCCGCAGGGCGGGAGGGGAGAAAGCGGAGGATCGCTGGTGGGGCCCAGCTGAGGGTGACGTGGCACTGGCCGTGGTGGCTGCCTGGAGGGCGGGAGGGGAGAAAGCGGAGGATCGCTGGTGGGGCCCAGCTGAGGGAGACGTGGCCCTGGCTGTGGTGGCTGCCCGCAGGGCGGGAGGGGAGAAAGCGGAGGATCGCTGGTGGGGCCCAGCTGAGGGGAGAAAGCGGAGGATCGCTGGTGGGGCCCAGCTGAGGGTGACGTGGCACTGGCCGTGGTGGCTGCCTGGAGGGCGGGAGGGGAGAAAGCGGAGGATCGCTGGTGGGGCCCAGCTGAGGGAGACGTGGCCCTGGCTGTGGTGGCTGCCCGCAGGGCGGGAGGGGAGAAAGCGGAGGATCGCTGGTGGGGCCCAGCTGAGGGTGACGTGGCACTGGCCGTGGTGGCTGCCCGCAGGGCGGGAGGGGAGAAAGCGGAGGATCGCTGGTGGGGCCCAGCTGAGGGTGAC